TTTCTAAAAATATTGTGCAGAAAGAACAGAAAGTTTCCATATATTCCTTGACGGATCCCCCATTTCTCCCTGTTATTAACACCTTGCACTCATGTACTCAATATGTTATAATTGATAAACCAATATTGATTTATTAGCCAAATTCTACAGCCTATGTTAAGATATGAACCTTGATTTTGTATTGTATGTTCTATGTGTATTGACAAATGCACAATGATACATATTCAACATTATAGAACTATACAGAACAGTTACACTGACCTAAAAATCTGTATGGCTTTATATATTCATCACCCTCAGCCCTAACTCCTGGCAAAAATTGATATTTTTAAGGTCTCTGTAGTTTTGTCATCCAGTATTATATAATTAAAATAATAAATTACATAGCCTTTGCAGACTGGCTTTTTACATTTATCAGTCTGCATAGTTCCTCTATGTTTTTTCATGGTATCATGGTGCATTCCTGTTTTACTATTTAATACTATTCCATTGTGTAGATGTACCAGTTGGGTTATCCATTCGCTTATGGAAGGATATCATGATTGCTTCCAAGTTTTGGAAACTGTGAATAAAACTGCTACAAATATTGATAGGAGGTGTGCTAGTCAGTTTTGCATTATTATAACAATTGTATACTATTGTTATAATAATGCAAAACTGACTAGCACACCTATCAGCTAGCAATGAATGAGAGTTCCTGTGGCTCCATATTCTCACCAGCATTTGGTGTTATCAGTGTTTTGGATTTTAGCCATTCACTGTATAGTGAATGGAGAGTCATTTCACTGTTGTTTTAACTTACAACTTCACAATGACATATGATGTTAAATATTTTTTCCTAAACTTATTTGTGGTCTGCATGTCTTCCTTGGTGATGCATCCATTTAGATATTTTGCTATCTTTCAATTGGGTTGGCAGATATTCTAAAATGTTTATTTGGTCATCATTCCATATGATTCCTAACATCTTTGGGATTTTCAAAATGATAGTATGCAAATATGATGATGAGTGGTTGGGGGATGGTCACCAGAAAGACAGGCCAATTAAGGTGTTGAGACTTTCAGTCCAGCTCTCAACCTCCAGGGAAGAGAGAGTGGCTGAAGGTTGATCCCATCATCAATGGACAATGATTTACTCAACCATGCCAACATAATGAATCTTCTATAAAAATCCAAGGAGGACTGGGTTTGGGATCTTCTGGATAGCTGAACACATGAGGGTGGTGGTGGTCCAGAGAGGGTGTGGAAGCGCCATGCCCTTTCCACATGCCTAACCCTATGCATCTCTTAATTTTTATTAATTTGTTTATTGGGGCTCACCCAGGGCCTTGTGTCTGTTACCACACTGTCACAGAACTACACCCCTAATCTGCATCTCCTCACCCGTATCCTGTATATTTTTAAAATAATAAACCAGTAAACATAGTATTCCCTTGAGTTCTGTGAGATGCTAGAGAAAACTAATTGAACCTGAGGAGGGAATCTGGGTCTCCCCAATTTGGCCAGAAGCACAAGTAAAACAACCTGGGCCTTTTGATTGGTGTCCAAAGGGGGTGATGACAGTCTTGGTGATTGAGTCCTCAACTACTGTCTCCATGTAGTTAGTGTCAGAACCAAATTGGATCAGAGGACACTCAGCTGGTGTCCACTGTAGAATGGATTGCATAGTGTGTGGGGAAAGAAAATGCCACATATTTGTCATAAAATCTTCCTGGTGTTTTCCTCAGGTGTCTGTTTTCTTACTGAGTTTGGAGAGTTCCTTGGATACTTTGGATACTAGACCTTTATTAAATATGTGTTTTGCAGAGATTTTTCTGTGGTCTCTCATTTCATTACCATTTTATTGTCTTTTGCGGAGCAGGTTTTTAATTTTAATAAAGTTCGATGTCCAACTTATCAATTATTTCTTTCATGGATCATATTTTGGTGTTGTCTTTAAAAAAATCATCACCGAATTCAAGGTCACCTAGATTCCCCCCATGTTTGTTGTCTTCTAAGAGTTGAGTAGTTTTGTGGGGGGTTTGGGTTTTGTTTTTGGTGCTGGGGATGGAGCCTAGGGCCTTGTACATGCTAAGCTTGTGCTCTAAGCTACATCTCCAGCCCTGAGGTTTGGAGTTTTTATTTTTATGGTTTATGGTTAATTTTGAGTTAGCTTTTGTGAAAGATGGTATAAGGTCTACGTCTAGATTCATTTTTTTCCACACAGATGTCCAGATACACTAACACAGTTTATTGAAGAAATTATCTTCTCTGCATTAAACTTCCTTTGATCCTTTAATCAAAGATCAATTGGCTGTATCTCTATGAGTCTATTTCTGGGCTCTCTATCGTACCCATTTTTACATATATTTTTCATATTTCCCATGGAGTTTGTACCTGCCCACCAGGTAGCTAATTTCTTATTTTGAAGATGAATAAACTGAGGCTTAGAGTAGACAGGCATATGCTCTCTCTAGGCCAACAGCTGGTAGAAAGTAGAATCAGAATTCCAACTCACATCTGTCTGACTGATTCTAGGACCTTCCTGTACCTGGTGTTGCCCTGTGATGCTACACTGGAACATGGCCAGTCAACCTTACCCTTAACTTTAACCATGGCCAGTGCTCTCCAGGGGCTAAATTCTAGCATCTCCTTTCTTTAAGCGTCTTTGGACTCTTGACCTAGCTACTCTTTGATTATAATCAAGACTGCTTATCACCTTTGACATAAGCTCTGACCTGTCAAAATTTAGCTTTTCCTAAAATAGCCTGTTTTATCAGCACTCTCTGTTTTTCTTTTTCCTTTTGTCCATCTGTGTAACCTTGAGCATAATAATAATTTTTTTTCAGGTTCATACTGATCCTTTTTGCTGAGAAATCACTTTCTCTTTGGCCTTGTCATTGAGGGGGTCCTATTGTCTAGACTACTGAGTGGGCTTGCTGAACTGAGCAGTGTTAAAAATCTCTGTCAAATTAACTCTATGTGAGCTCTCTGTGTTGACCTAGTAGAGCATCCCTACCATCTACTAAATTCTATTTTAATGTCAAAAGTCAGTTAAAAATTGTAATCATATTTCAAAAACCAAGGGATAGTCTTTTGATCAGAATTGTCAAAGGACAAAATTACAACAATTTAAAGTCCTTAATTGGTTTTCTTTGCAATTCTAGAATTGGGCAACATTTCATTCTATAAAATAGATTGGATTCCAATGAGCCAAGGAGAAGAAGTTGGTTTTATAGACAGAAAAGAGATGAATAATGTAGGAACAAGGAATGAATCGTAGATTGGCCATTTCAAAGTTAATTTTCTTATATATGAGGACAGGGAGATAGAACAATAGAAAAAATAACATCAGTTAACCTCAGTTTACTTCATGCTTCCTTTTTTAGTGTAAAGATTAAGGCAGAGAGAATTTATTATCATGCCAATTGAAATTAACTGCATGGGAAATTTGGCTATCTCTGTAATCTTAATTTCTCAAAAATTTAGGTAAATAATTTATTTTCAGTTTGGTGACATGGAACTTCAGGGTGAGTAGCTCCATTTTGATTTTTTCCCTGGTCTATGGGGCCTACTGCAGGAGCCCTGTCCAAAACAATGGCCCCTGGAATTTTTATTTAACAGAATGTAAGTGGTGAAATTGCAGTATATCATCCAATAAATGAAGTGGTAGAGTTCAGATCAAATCCTCATCTGTTGCCAACGGCAGAGCAGGTGGACTTTGAATCGCCAGCCTCACCTCTTGAGAAGCATCCATCCCTTGATGCCAGTGTCAGGAGGTAGAAGGGATTGTGAGGGTCTTAGGATACTTACTTATGTGGCTAAGGTGTCATTTCACCATGGTATAACTGAAACTGAAATTCATCGTTTTAAAACAAAGCATGTGAGATGGCTTATTATGTCTCCAAATGGGGTTCAAAAAGCTTTACAAATATGAACTCATCTCCATGTGTTCAATAAGAAATTTTCCTACCCGGCTGGGTGGCATGTGCCTATAGTCCCAGCTACCGAGGAGGGTAAGGCAAGAGGATCACTTGAGCCCTGGAGTTCAGGGCCAGCCTGAGCAACACAGAGAGAAAGAACCCTTGAAAAAATAAAAATGAAAAGAAAAACAAAACAAAAGCTATTCAGTAATGTACTTTATACATTGCTTGTCTAATTCCAAGGGAGGATGATACTATCGGCCAATGAGCCCCAATTACTGACCAAGGCCATTTGGGGCCATGGACATCAAACACTGTTCTTTTACTTTTAGTTTTGTTTTTCCTTACAGAGATAGATGGAGGATGGTGGTGTTCATCTGTTACCTATTTACTTATCTCATGCTACAGATTATAGAATCTTTATAGTTTATGGCTGCTATTTGGTTTGGAGAGCAAAGAGATGAGATGACAAGGAGTGAGACAGTGAGGTGAACAAGGTAGGATTCGTACTAAAGTTTCTGCAAGTACTGCAGAGTAACTCCCAGAAGTGAGCTGCCCTGACTGGCCCACCAGCCAGGCATGCCTATGCCACAGCCAAGGGACACACAGGTAGATGCAGGCTTTGGGGCCTTTCCTGACAATGGACAAGAATAAGGTTTTAGCAAGGGCAAAGAAAAAAAAAACAAGATAAAGTATTCTAATGACAAGTGAAGATTTATAATCATTGTCTTAAAATCCTTGACGTACGCCCTAAATTTTTAAATTTGGTGATAGAAACTAGTCACCAGCCCGGGAGTTGGCACCGCGGGGCGGAGGCCCGCGCCCTGGCCCGCGCGCGGTTGGGGCTGCGGGGGACCAGACGATGCTGCAGCGCCGCGAGCTCGGATTGGCGGAGAAAAGGCCACAAGCGAAAGCGCCAGGAGGTGCCGCCCGCCGGCGGGGGAATCCCAGGTTGGGGCGCGCGAAGCCTCCGCCGCCCCGCCTACCATGGGCGCGTCCGCCCTCGGCTGCCGCGCCGCGCTGCCATTGGTGCCCGGCTGTGACACGCCGGAGCCGGCCGGGGCCCCGGGCGGGCGGCGCGAGGGGCGGGGGCCGGGCGCGCGGCTGATGAAACCGGCGCCGGATCCCGCCCGCCTCGGCGCCCCATTCACTCCGCGCGGGCAGGTGTGAGCTGCGCGTCCAGCCGGCACGCCTGACCTCCGCTCGGGGCCGATCGTCCGCCAGTCCGTGCGTCCGTCGGTCCACCGCAGTCCTGCTCGCATCCTGCCGCCCGCCGCCGCCCGCTCGGTGAGTGCCCGAGCCCTCAGCGCAGGGACAGCTCCCTGGCGCGAGTCACCTTGGAGGGGCCTCGGCGCCGCGTGGGGTCGCGGGAGGAGGGAGCGAGGTCAAGGAGGGTCCCGCGCGGGGGGTGTTGGCATCCTCCCGGGAGGTCCCTGGCTGGCCGGGAGCGGGGACGTGCCCGTGGGGCCGGTGCCCATGCGGCTGTCGCTTCCACGGAGTCCATTTTGGTTCCCTGAAGGCGCAGCGTGGTGCATGATGCAACACCGACCGAGTAAGCTGGGGCGACCTGGCGCCGCGCGATGCCCGCTCCGCGCGCCTGCCCAGGGACCCTGGCGCCGGGGCGCTCGGGGTGGCCTGTGTGGCCCGGGGCGCGCGGCGGGCTCGGGGGGCCGGCCTAGGCGGCATCCCGAGCCCGCCGGCTGCGAGGGAGACCTTCCCTTACATGGCGCGGTGCTGAGCACCCCGCCCCGCCACGAGGTCCTGGGATGTGTCATCAGCCGCGGGTGGGGACCCCGCCAGGACGCTGGGAGGGTGGCCCCGCGGCAGGTGGCCGACCTGGGGACCGTGCTGCGCACCCCTGCTTGGTGGTCGCGGCGCCCGCCTCCTGCCTCTCCTCCCTTTCATTATAGACCCCGAGACCCGCCCTGTCCCCCAGCCCTTATCCAAGTTCCCCAGGGTTACTTTGAGGAGGTCACCTCAAGGTGGGGCTTCTTGTGCCGGGATTGGCCTGAAAATACAGGGTTCCTCAGGCCCTCCAGATGGTTTGGAGTAGGAGGAAGTTCTTCCGGCTTCATAAAGACAACCTATTCTCAGCGTGTTTCTCTCTGCGTAGTAGAAAACTTCCCGGGCACTGGCAGGTCACCAGCCCAGCGTGTCCACGTAGTAGCAGCTGCTCCACAGTACTACCGTGGCCTGCTGGGTGAGCCTCTGACCCTCCTCATGGGGTGTGGGAACCAAATAGGAGTTGTGTTTGACTTGTGTCATTACGATAGCCAGACATGTGCCTTCAGGAAGAAAGAACTACACTTCCCAGTACCCACAGTCATGCTCTCTGTTGCTAGGTTTTCTCCCAGAGGACAGGGTTGGGATTTCAATCCCAGATATATTTCCCTAAAATAAATATGCTTTTTAAGTAAAAATTCACTAGAACTGTGTACATTGCCTTCTGGCTGAATGTTCTAATTGTAATTCAAATTATAATTTAGTTGGGTTTTTACCTTAACATAGCTTGCCCTTTATGTGTGGTTCAGATAAAAGGAAACCATGATACATTTATTCCCCTGATATTTTTTGTAGGTCTCAGTGGAAACTATCATTATTTTCATATGAATGCACCCGCCTGGCTTTAAAACAAAAGGTCTTATTTAAGACACAGGATCCGAATAGAAATTTAGGGGAAAGGTCAATAATGGATTAAAATTCCTTTTAAAGGTTTGGCATATTGAGGTGTTTAATGATTATAAAGGTAAAATTCAAAAGGTGTCAAAGAAGTTTTGAGTAAACAAACAGGACAGGGCTTAATAAGAAGCCATCAGAAAAGTACTCAGTTGGCTGGATATGAATCTTAGAGCCACATGGCTGTTTTTATGCATGTGATTATTGGCTTTAGGTGAATAAAAGTCACAAAAGACAAGATTGATGGCCTCAGGAAGTTTGAATTCTAAGACACATATGTTCATTACATTTTATGGAAGATCTCATCCTCTGATGGAATTAGCACATGGTTATTGGGTATTCTAGTTTCTTTTTATCGAATCCAGTAAAATCGGGCAATCGTTGGAGGGCCCATTGCATCCAATGAAACGAATCCTTTCTTATAAGTAACCATGTATTTGAAGGTATTGCTTATTAATGCCAGGGAGGAGTCTGAATAGGAAGAAGTCCTTGTTATGGAGGGAACTGTTTCCTCTCACTCTGGGGATACCTGGGTCTCTGTCATCTTGCCCAGAGGCTCTCCCCAGATACCCTTCATTTCACTTGGCCCTTCGTCCTTACTCCATGGAAGACCTATGGATGAGACACTGGCCTTATGTGAATGATTGGTCCCTTCAGGCCTGGGTTGTGTGTGTGTGTGTGTGTGTGTGTGTGTTTTGCTAGGGATCAAACCCAGAGCCTCTCCCGTGCTAGTCTACCACAGGGCTGCACTCCCAGCCCCTGGTCAGCGTAAATTTAGAGGCATACCCAGCCAGATTGGCAGTATTCCCATGTGAAGTGTGAGAGAGATCAACTATAAATCCAAGCATGGTGGAGGTGGGAAGGCTAGGAAAAGAGCATGTTGGGTGGAAGAAAGATTTGAAAAGACACAGCTAACATTTTTAGATACTTCCATCCCTAAGGACAGGCCTGGACGAGATGGACCCTTTTGGGGCCCTTCCAAGGTGTATGACTGTGTTGCATCCACCTGTCCCAGAGTGGTAGCCTTCTTCCCATTCACCTCATATTTAAGTTGGGAGCTCATTGAGCTCTGTCTCTTCTGCTACCTATCACCTCCCTTGCCCCTCCAGAGTGGGCAGCTTGCTGGTGGACTTCCCTGGTAGGATGGGGATCCCAGGTCAAGGTTCCCAGGTTTTAGTTCTCCTCCAGGGAGGGAATACAGTAGAAAAATCTTTGGCTTTCAGCCTCGTGGTAAACTTGAGCTGCTTCTCTTTCTTTTCCTCCATAATCGGTTACCTGTCCTCCCTCCGCCCTCCAACAGTTTGGAAAATAATGGCCCCTGCACTTGTTTGGAGAGAGTCAGAATTTGTCAAGGGAGGTTCAGTGCATTTGCTCTTGGAGTGAGTCTGCCACAAGGATGGGCACAAATGGGGGAAACCCTTTGGTGGACTGCTAACGATGTCTGTTTCCCTCCCAAGGCGTTGGTTCATCGCAACACTGGCAGACTAGGGGGAACACTGTTTTCTTGATCCATTGGTCAGGATTCCGTCCTCCCAGGACTGCTGGAAAGACATTTCTGGACATTGGAAGGTTCACCCTACTGCCACACGCAGTGGCTTGCATTGGGCTTTTCCTCTCTGGTTATTATGGACGGGGGGACCTGCAGATGGTACCTTTAGGGATCATACTGTGCAAACTGAGTACGAGCTGTGACTGAGGGGTGAGGCGTCCACCTTTCCAGCTCAGGGTGGACCCTGCTGCTGCTGGTCTGTGGAGCCCTGGGGAGGGGCACCGAGGCTGGGAAGAGTGCTGCTTTTGACTTCTGGACTCAGCTTTGCCCCTCTCTCCATGTGCAGACTCTGGGAAGTCATTTAAACTTTCTGAAACTTATGCACTTATGGGGACCTGTCCTTTCCAGCCTCCCTGGCGAGAAGCTGGAAAGCTTGAAGTCCATTCGATCCTTTGACAAAGGTGTCAAATTCATGCAAATTCTTTTTTGAAATCAGCTCTATTTCCAGTTTAGATAGTGGTGGGAGAAAGAATGTCCCTTTTCTTGGTAGCACTGTGTCTTTCTCCGTTGTCTCTCTTTTTCCAGGTTGTGTTTCCTTTCCCCCTCCCTTTTCTGGGGGTGCAGAGGGCCTGGGCAGACGCATTCCCTTACCTTTCCACATTCCTTCTGCAGGGCTTTTTTTCAGGATGTTCAGATAGTTCTTGACCATACGGACAATCAGACATTTTTCCTGTGTGTTCAACAGTGGGTCCTAGTTCCGGATCATAGAGACCATGTAGCAGTGGTGACTGCTTGATATAGCCAACCTGAGCTTATGGCCCCACTCCCCAAACTTTGGGGTCAAAGTAGAAGCCACGACCCATCCCCAAAGAAAGGGCTGAATGACAGAGTGAGCCCCGCTTACAGGGATGCCTGTTCTAAAGTATTTCCTGTACCACGTGGAAATCCTTTCCCACGCTGCTTGCATAGTAATTGGCTTTTATTTTACTTATTTATTTATTTTTTGAGACTGGTGTCTCTGCATTACTGAAGCTGGTCTCCAACTCCTGGGCTCAGCCTCCTGGCTAACTGGAGGTATAGGTATGTGCTATTGCACCTGGCTTTTAGTGCTTACCTTTCAGGGTGGAGAGGATTTAAATGAGATAATGGATGTTAGACACTTACAGCATCTGGTACCCAGTATTTAACATAAATCTTAACAGTTACAGTGGAAGGAAAGGTTAACTCTTTGATTTAGATGTGGGAGAAAAATGATTTTTAAAACAACTTAAGTTTGCTTCTCCATTTGCCATGGCAATAAAATGTAGCCCCCTTTCCTTGGAATGTACCCAATTCAGGGTGTTGTGGGTCATTTGGGCCTTAGAGTAATCTGTTGACAAGTTCCCCATCCCCTCTGGTCCTGGGTCTGGAGGGAATGATGACAGCCCTGGGCTTTTGGCTCTATTGCCTGGATGTGCCTGATGAGATCCAGGGGCCACCTTGGGGTCCACAGTCTTGGGCTTGGCCACTCTGAGTACCTCTGGGAAGCCCCTTTCTTAGTGTTTGCGGTGTGTGTGTGTATGCACATCTGTGTGTTTAGCAGGGGATGTGTGTTTAGTGGGTGTGGGTATAGTGGCTGTCCTTATAGTCATCTTCATTCCCAACACTGAACCCAAATTACCCAAAGTCCTTGGGTTTGAGAAGAGCTAAACCCCCAAACCCAGGGCCATCTCTTTCCATCCTTTCTTTGAGTAGGTAATATCCCTTTTGGGTAAGGGTGGTGGGCTCATCCCTCAGTGGGGCTCAGAGAAGGGAGGGAACTGAACATTGTCATTTCCTCCAACGATTGTGACAGTTCTCATTCTTCCCATGAAGTGGCTTGAATTGAGCTGTTAAGGTTTGCTTGGAAATGCCCTCTTTCTCTTTCCACAGCTTCTTCCTTGCCTACCAAGTGCCATCTACCAGTCTCACACCAGATAGGAAGGAAGGCGGGGACAGATGAGGTCAGGAGTCACAAGTGCATGTTTAGTGCTTTCTGAGTACTTGGCGCTTGATGTATTTTCTTCCAGCCTTGTAACTGCCTGTCAAGTCTGGTCCAGCTGTTGGACCAGACTGATGGGGAAGTGAAGGCAGGTCCTCGCTA